TATTTTCATGATAAATTCAAAATTTTGTTTGAGAAAATGACATCTATTGTTGTGCAAACAGCAGATCAACAAAATAATTGGTCAATCCAAGAAGAACAATATAAGGCACAAATTGCGAATCTTAAAGCACAACTCAAACAAGAAGAGGAGGATGATATTAGCGAAGATTCACCGGGAATAATAGATATTCCTATCAAAACCACCTTGGAGAGAAAGTGTTCTTATTTGGAAGAATCATACAAATATATAAGAACAGTAAACGAAGTCATGAAGAATGAGATTTTAGAAAGTAAAAAGGAAAACATGATCTTGACACTGGAATTCGAAACTCAAATTCAAAGATTGATGCTTGATATAGCAAATCTTTTTGATAAACTTCGTTACTCAATATCAATTGAATCATTTTGGAAACAAAATACTGTGTTGAATGAAACTATTTCAAATTATAGAAAATTATTAGAAACGAATTGTAAAAATGATGAAAATATAAATCTTGTGGAATCCCTTCAACAAACTAAAAATGAAATCATAAACTTACTACAAAATAGTTTACAAAATGGTAAAAAGCAACCTATTATTAATATGCGTTATTTAAGCTTTGAAAAGTCATAAGAAATTAAACCGAAACGGGAAAGAAGCATTACACTGCATGTTTTATCGCGAGTGATCTCGATAAAACATGTCTATGCACTCACTATTCGCTCATTTACCGTTGGCTAGCGTATGTTTTATAAAAATACAACAGACACGTTATTTTAGTACTGAAAACACCTTCAAAATACATTTTCTGTATTAAATGACGCACCCGTCACTTGAGTGTATTCAAATCAATCCAATGAAAAGCAAATCAATCCAAAAGAAATTAATAAACTTTTATAAAAACTGGCTTGCAAGTCATTTTGAGTGAGCGAGTTAGGTACATTAAATATACTTTGTTAAATGTGTGTCATGCGAAAATACATGGCACACATCTACATGATTGTTGTTTTACTCTTTTTGGAGGCTTTTTTGCAGGCTCGAGTACTATGTTTGCCATTCATTTATATGTAACTGTATATATGTTTACGTGTAGTTGTATTTGGTCCAATTATCGAATACGTGATTAAGAATATATACCGTATTTACATCGAAACATCTGGTCATCAGTTATGTTCACTTCGAATATTGGCCCGATCCCAATATTTCCAAGACTCATCAACCAACCCAAGTGTTTTTGACAAATTTTATTGTTGTATTGTAAGTAATTGATATTTAATTTTAAAATAACCATTCAATTCTTGTATCAAAGGTAAAATAGATGAAGAGAAATTAAAAAGTCTTCTAACTACAACTGAGCAGTTCATCGTTGAGAAACAAATAAATAATATTTGTTCAAAATTGGATGAAAAGGATAATAAAATAAAGCTATTAGAAGCAAAAAACATTCAATTACAAGAAACACAAGCTAAAATCATGTAAGTACCTGTTTTTGTTTTTAATCGAGTTCAAATAGCAATAATAAAGTAACAGTGGATGGTTGCGTTCCAAAAAAAAAAATACTGGAATGGCTCTGCTGTCTATTCATACTTATGCAGCGGAAGTATGAAAAGATGCAGAGCCAATATGCATCTGTCATAGGATTTTTTTTTTCAAATCACAATTATATATTTTAGTGACGACTCATTAGCTTCAGATACTAAAGAAGAAATTGAACTTCTGAAAAGTCAACTACTAAAACTAGCTGCTGATAACAAATTACTCAAAGAACAATGTCAACATATTGGAAGTCAATTAGATATTGCTCTACTACAGGTAAAGTTACATTGACCAAAAAACATGAAAAATAAATATTGAGAAGCAAACTACCTAACATATTTATTTACCGTTTTTAGTTACAAGATAATCAACAAAGAGAATTTAGTAACGATATAGAAATAAATATATTGAGACATCAAATTCTTGACCTGCAAGCGTCGGGTGATAATAAGGCTATCATTGCAAGGTAAATAAATTTAACATTACTGAAAGAAGTCCACAGGCTAACATAAAACAACTTAAAAAAATATTTTAAAATTAACAACTATCTATTTTTCTATTTTATAGATTAAGTGGTGAAGTATTAGTAGCACATTTACAAACTTCGGAAAGTAATAAAAAAATTGAAAGGCTTAGCGCTGCATTGAACAGAGAAAAACAATGTAGAATAGAAGCAGAAGAAATGATGATGGCACGTCAGAAGATTTTTGACGTTTACTCTATGAGATATGAATCTAAATTTAGGTAAATATGTATTTCATTAGATTGTTCAAAATTAAATAAACACAATAGTGAATATCCTGTGACAATATCTAAAAAACTCATTTTTGTATAAGTTTTTTCAATCAAAAATTCTCACATATGCCTCGTGTGTTTATAAGTTTTTTACTGAAAAAATAAAATGTTACTGGCTGATTTTTTTTACCGATTTTGAATTTGGTACATAACTTTTAGTTTATTGGTTTTGCAAATTAAACAATTACGTGCAACTGTAATTTCGCTATTTAAGGCGAGAAAAAAACCGATGCAGATTTTCCACGAGCTGAAAAGTTTTCCTGTAAGCAGTAACTTCGTCTATTACACAATACAGTGAGACAAGTTCTTTGCAAGATCGCCAAACGAGTGGTCGGCCACGTTCTGTGAGGACGCCTGCAAACATTAAAATTATTCGAGAGCGACTTCGCCGAAATCCATGTTGCACTCAGAAGAAACTTCGCGCGTTTCAGTGAACAGAATACTGAAATATGATCTTAAGGCCCATAGCAATAAAAAAAGTTCTCTTTTTAACCGATCGTCTTCGTAACTTACGACGCAAACATCGTTCATTGCTTCTGAGGAGACATGATGCCAGAAAGATACTCTTCACCGATGAGAAAATTTTTACTGTCGAGGAAAAGTTCAACCGACAAAACAATAAAATGTACGCTAAAAGTAGCAAGGATGTCCCAGCTTCTACACGGAATGTCTCGCACACTCATCATCCGGCTAGTGTGACGGTATGATGGGGAGTATCGTATAAAAGTGTCACTCCGCTCCATTTCTGCCAACAAGGTGTCACGATGAAAGCCAAGTATTCGTTACCAGAGTGACATTTTAGAGCCCGTGGTGACACCCCTGTCTGATGTGTTATTTCACAATAAGGATTGGGTTTTTAAGCAAAATTTGGCGTCATCCCATTAGGCAAAAAGCACCTCACAAGCTTCGTTGAGGGATAGTGTGCCGGCCTTCATCCCGGCGGACTAGTGGCCCTCCTCCAGCCCCGATCTCAACCCGCTGGATTATTCTTTATGGACTGAATTAGAGTTTAGAGCTTGCGGAAAGTCCCACCCAAACTTAAAGTCACTGAAGTGAACCCGAGAAACAAAGCGAATCCCGCTTGAAAAGATTCGTGCCGTCATTGATGACTGACCAAATCGTCTAAGGGCCTGTATTAAAAACAAGGGCGGTTGTTTTGAATAAAATATATATTTCTTTTGATTATAATCTATTTAACTGTTACTGAATATTTTTTTAAATAAACTTTTATTTCGTCTCAAAACTTATGAATACACGAGGTATACTTAATGATATATATAACTATGATCATAGGATGATATAATTTTCAGGTATATGTACGAAGTAATGCAAATTCTCAGACAACAGTATCATGGGAGCTTGCCTATTTCATCACTTGAAAATTATTTAAATAAAATAGAAGAATTAACTAGAAAAACATACGCAACTAATGAAAAATTAGAAGAAATTGAAAATTTGCAATACAATTTAATGACCAAACATTCAGTATATGAACAAGTTTTAGATTTGACTAAAAATAAATGTTTAGATGGTCAAGAAGAATGCGCGCATAAGCTGAAATGTTTTGTTTTGGTAAATAATAAAGCGCAATCAAAATTAACTAAAAAAATCAGCAATGTTTAATTTACCTCGTTTCAATTTCAGGAGGGGATGCATTCTCGAGAAGAAAACCATTATAATAAAAAACTTATAGCATTAGAAAAATCTAGAGAGGATTTGATAAAATATTGCAATAGACTAGAACATACTCTAGTATTAGTAAATCAAGGTTTTGAAAAATCAGTATCCAATATTCCATCCACCCCAAAAAGAAATATAAAAGATCAAAATATAAAATTAGAAGATATTCAATCCGATGATGAATCACTTAGTAGAAGTAAGTATAAGTAAATCTAAATTGGAAATCTGATGTGTTAATAAATTAATCGAGTACCTAAACTATTCACAGGAAGCCAAACAATAACTTTGTCTAAACCACTAGTCCTTGAGCCTGTGGAAAGCCCTAATACTGTAAATAACGATAGTGTGTGTAACAAACCAATAGCTCAAACTATAGAGAGAGATATAAAGTCAAAAACAATAGATGTATCTGTTCAAACAGAAAGCATTGTTATCCACAAACAAATTAAATCTATTCAGACCGAAGTAGATGAAGAAAAAATTAAACTCGAAGAGAAAATTAAACAACTTAAATTAGAAAATAATAAGATCCATAGTGATCTATCAAATATTAAACATTCAGCTTATCAAAATGCACAGGATAGTCTAAATTTAAATTCGCAAAATATTCACTTAGAAACGCAAATTGAAAATTTAAAAGATTTGAATAACGAAAAAGACAAACTGAATGAAAGCTTACGTAATGCTATAGAGGAGTTGAGGCAACAAAATGAATATTACAAAACTTATGAAATGACCCAAAGGAACAAAGTGAGGGATCTTGCTAATGAAGAGAAAAACTCCTTAATTGTTGCTCTCAAACAATTGGAAAATGATAAAAATAATATTGTAGCGGAGTATAAGGAATTACTTAAAAATGAACGTGATGAATATTCAAAGGCGATGAAAGATTTAAATATGAAACTATTAGAACTTCAGTCACAACTGGATAGGTAAAATATACTACCCATACGAATTAACATGGAATTTCGTCTATTTACGAAATGCTAATACGACTCCAAAGAAATGCATTTTTGATAATTTATGATGCAACGGACGTAGGATCTGACACTGCCTCTGTTACGTAGATATTTTTACGAATATGATTTTCACAAAATTACAATTAAATTTTAATAAAATTGACGAATAAAATAGGCGAGGCGTCATGTTAATTCGTACGAATTAAAAATGAGATAAGCTTTTATCTCATTTTTAATATAGCGAAATGTTTTTCTAATACCTTAACTATCAATCATTTTGCATGACTATAAAGATAAATGTTATCGTTTACGTAATCAACTATTAACATATTTATTATAGCAAAGAAAGTGATAGTGACTCTTCCAAAGCAGATGCCATCAAGGAAGTTATCGGTAAATACACTTTGAAAATAGCTACTCTTGAAGATATTTGTTTCAAAACCAAAAGTGAATTAGATAGTAGCAGGACAGAAATGTAAGCGATGGTACTTTGTTGTAAATTTATTCCAAAAAAAATATCAATTTAACTCAATATATCAATATTGATATTTCCAGAATGACATATCAGTGTGAATTGGATCGCTGGAAAGATTTGGCTATTGAGAGACTAGCTAAAATGGAACAACTGAGCTCTCAGTTAGAAGAAAGACACTGCCATGAGGTAAGTACTTTATTGCCCGTTTTCACTTAACTTAGGAGTCGCCCAAATGTAGGCTAAATATTTCGCCACTTAATGAAATTAAGCAATGTCTAAAGTTATAATATTAGTTATAAGGCGTCTTGCGCTAGGCATTTGCGTATATGATAGGTCATAAATATGTCAAGGGATAGAAGAAAAAAATATTTATTTGAAATTAAACTAATCTGCTTAGGCGATTCATAATATTAGTTGTTCCTAGTTAAGCTACACGTTGTTCGAGGTTAGTGAATATGTGTGTAAATGTTACATTAAGAGATATATCTGGAGAAAAATATTTTGTAAAGCGTGTGATAATATATTTGATTAAAGTTGATAAATCTTTTTATTCTTTTTGGTCATTTTGCAACAAATCCACCAACCTTAGGTAGTCCGAGATGGGACTTGAACCTACATCCTATCGCAATCCGCATAATTATAAGCATTTTTCATTAAAGAAATATATTTTTCTTATAAAATTACATGATATTTTACAGGTAGAATCATATAAAGCAGAAAATCAACACTGGATGTCACAATTGAATGAAACGCAACGTGAACACTTGGAGTTGCGGTCACGCATATCCGAGCAAAAAACTATGTACATGAAACAACTAGCTGACAAAGATGCAATAATTGAACAATTAAGATCTTCCGTTCATAATTTAAAAGTATGATGAAGGGCGTGAGAATTATACTCATTCTTTTTTTTAAATGAATATTTCTCAATGATAAATAATTTTAAAATTATTGTTACCATATACCTAATAATTTCTGCAGTTAATGACCATGACAGTTTAAAGCAACATACGAATATTTCTGACAATGGGTTCTGCTCTTATCTTCAGTTCTTCAATAAAGTCAAGCGAATCTATAATAAAACAACATTTGTTAATTTACCTTTATCTCCTATTCCAGACACAAATTATAAGCATGCAGACAATGATTTCAGTAAATGATCCAAGCTTCGATTTATCCGCTATAGTTGAGGTCGATGAAACCAGTGATGGTCTGTCTCAGCCTGGTTCCGAACGTCTGGAAATAAAATTCGATTCCTCTATTGATATACACGAAATTCAAGACGATCTTGTGAGGATGCCGACTACTTCAACATCTATATGGTAAATAAACTATCTTCGGATTGTGTTTTAAAATTTTAAGATATAAGACATATAAGAAACTTGTTTTGCAGGCAAGAACCAGTGATTGAACGTTTACGACGTGAAAAGCAATTAGCAAGTAAACAGAATGCAGTCTTGCGCCGTCAAATAAAAGCGCTAGCGGCGCGCGAACGTCGTGCGCGTCTAGATGCACAGAATCTCAAGAATCAAGTATTCAGAATGTAATTACTGTCTATCAACATACATAAAACAAGTTACAACTTATTAAAACAAAAAACAATTAAGTAGCCGCTGAGTAATAGTTTTATTAAAATTTTCAATCGTTCTCACAGCTAAATTTTTTTTATTTATTTATTTATGTATATATTGATTAAAATTATTTCATAAAGCTTTTTCCCTTCCTCATTAATATTACAGAAAGTTAAAAAAACAATATTTTATTCTCTATGTTACAGAAGTACATCTGGTGGTAGAGTAGCCACAGCAGAAACTGCAGCGCTCCAAAGTAAGATCGCGTCTCTTCAAGCACAGCTGTTGAGCGCTCGCCGTGACACACAATCTTCTATTGCACTCTGGGACAAATGGAAAAGGTGCGTAAACGATATAAGTGTTCAATTTCCGCGCAGACCTTAAGTGAGTCTGAGTATAAAATACTTCAAGGTGCCCCTATCCTAGAGAGAACTTGAAAGCCTCGTGACCTTGTTTACCTAAATTTGGGTTTACGTTCACTAAAGAAAAAAATTGCAACAAAAATAATGAAAAATATGATACATCTTTTTACGTAAATTCTAGTATATAATAATTAGAAGAGTATTCGCCTGATTGCGGAAGGTTCCAATTCCGTCTCGACTATCAGTAGAGTTGATATTCTAAGTATTAGCCTATAAGTTGGATTCTGTGCTTTTTGAAACTCCGAACCAGTTTTTGTATCCGCAGTTGATTGATTGGTTATGTAATTTCTTCGTTATTTTTTTATATAAAAGGGCACAGCAATCATCAGAACGTTGGCAAGCTCGTTACGAAGATAAGTGTCAGGAAATTAAGAAAATGCAAGCTAGTTTGAATCTCGCTAAGTCAACTGTGTTAAGATTAGAAAGAGAAAAACGAGTACTTCTCACCAAGCTCACTGAAATCAAACGTAAGTTTATTTAAAGCAATATTAAGAGTTTTTTGCAGTATACCATTGACACAGTTGTTACTTTACATGCTGACATTATAATAGTTGCGTGAGGGACTCAGATCAGCAGTAGATGTTAATTCTATATATAAATACTAAAAATGATATGCGTTACAAAATAATTAAGATTTTTACATATTTTATAGACAAATAAATATTACACAAGTAAAACTAGAGTCTATCTCACGAAAGAAGTCCCGTGGCATAACTCTTATTCCTTTGTAATAAAAGTAAAAACATTGTGATCCGAGGGACTTCTTTCATGAGACGAACTTTAATTAAAAATACACTACCGGGCGTTATAATTCATAAAAATTATATAACTTATTTGCAGAAGAAAGACATCTGACTATAGAGAAGCAAGATATCGAAACTTTAGAGAAATCCTCTCGTTTGACTGATACGGAACGATCTACCTCACCCCCGCCAGTATCTGCGCGTGCACTGCTTGATAGAGTACAGGCTCAGCAAAGAAGAATCGCAGCACTAGAAGTTGCTGAAAAGGTTTGTTTATATTTTCATATCTACAAATCAAATTAACATTTACTGTTTAAACATTAATTGAAAGTATTGGATTAAAGATTGTGAAAATCAGAAACAAGGCAACGTTTAGTATCTTAGAAATTAATCTTCCATTCTAATGATAATGCCCATGAAAGTTTAAAACAACCCGAGTATCATACATAAACCATGCGAGTACATCGCAACTTAATGACACAATAGGTCCACTAAAAATTTAAATAATACATAATCAAGCTAACTTAGAACTTTATTATATTCCAGGGTAATGAAACGCTAGTTTCTGAATATGAGAGGGCACTTGCGGAAATTACCTCGTTAAAAGGTCAAGTTTTAAAATTGGAATCTACTTTATTAGAGTCGCAAATAAAATCGCCGCTGAAGATCACGCAAGAAACACAGCCAGAGTTGGAATACTGGAAGAGGTTTGTTTCCATATCATTAAAGAATTAGACTAGTCATCTCTATATCGTTTGAATAATATTACCAGTATTTGTTTGAGTTAGTATAAAATATTGAAAACTATTTCTTTTTTTACATTACCTATAGTTACTGCGAGATGCTTAAAGAAGAAAATGTGCAGCTGAATATAAGAATTAATGCTTTGGAAGTAGCGCCCACCACCGCCAATCAGCATCGGATCAACGACCTTGAGCAGACAGTACTTACACTGAGAGGTATTTACATTCTAATAATAAGGTTAGCCTATTACAATATTTAGTATCGATGGTGCAGTGTTTAGCGAATTCGGTCAGAGAATGGGTAACCACAAATATATTATCTCGGGTTCCTACTCGGATAACCACCAACAAAAAGCAACGGATTTTAAACCCACCATCGTTTATCTTATACGATTCCATATATAGGCTGATGATGAAGATTGTAATGCCAAAAATAACTTTTCCTTCAATAATTTCCTAAAAATAGTTTCACTAAGGCGACAATTAACTTAAGCATGGTAGCAATCCCGTTTAGCAATCATTCTGACGTTGATGGATGGTCATGTAAGTTTAAAAACAACATGTAATTAACTTCAGGTCTTGTTGCCAAGCTTCAGGCGGAACAGAAATCTTCAGCGATACAAAGGCGTAGCGATTCCCGTCCTGGCAGTGGAAAAAGTGTTACAGACAAGGTTAGTAAGATTTAAACAACAATCTTTGATAATCTGTACAATCACGATGATGCAACAGTAAGATGATGTGACTCATTGATCTTCCTGAGCAGAAAGTTAAATTTCTAAGAGCAGCAAATATCGACTTATCAAAATAATGAAAGTATCACGCCATGGAGTGATCCACCAATATCCATGTGTCTCAACACCGCTGAATATAAGTGAGACGGTCGCTTAATGCGTTGTATTTTACACCTTCAGATCATTGAAACAAGACTAACTATGAAATTTAATAACATGTTCAGTCATCGTCGGAATTCGTAGATCTGTTCTGCGATTAAGAAGAGATTCATCATATACCATATTCGTTGAACCTTATTGTGTTAGTACCTATTGATATTATTGTATTTACAATTATTTTCAGAGTCGTAATAAGCAATTAGATACGCATCCCATTGAAGTTGCTAATCTCAAACGCAGCATACAAGACAAGGATTTATTGCTGGAGAGATCAAAGGAGATGTTAAAGATAGCAGCAGAGAGAGAGGATGAATTATTAAGAGAAGTATGTTACTTATTCACTACACAGAACATATTTTGTATTAATTATTACTTGGTGTCCAGACAAATAGAGTCTTTTTATAATTAGCAGACAACTGTATAATATAGATGTATAGATTTTTATAAAAAAAAGAAAAAAAATGAATAACATTTTTTTTTCTTTTTTTTGTTAATTTGAAACTTAATTTAAAATATCGTGTCGTTAGCTATAAATAATGTTATAAATGATTCGCTTATTAAGAATAACTTTTCGATTCTATTTATTTTAAATTGAGAACAATAAAACTAATTTCTATAAGATCTAAAAATATATCCAAGAGGTTTGTCGTTGGCATTAGAAGGTAATAATTAAAATTAAATTTCTTGATCTTGTAAAAGAACTTTAAGAAAGTACTGATTATAATCAAATGTGACTAAATTAAGAATTGTTAAATGACAGTTTATTTTTTTCAGAATGCGTTTTTACGACGTCGTGTAGAAGAACTTACAAATCCTAAAACAGGATTTCTCTCCGCTTAGATAATTTACTCTTAATATATAAGTTTGTTTTAAGATATAATTAAAAGTAATAAAACATAATAAAATACTTTTTCAAAATAAAACACTTATTATAATTTTTAATTTTTTTTATTTAATAAGATAATAGAAAACAAATCCCCAAAGTGAACAATAATTTTAACATAAGTTATAGTTTTTATTAGTTATTAATTTAGTAATATATTATATTTTGTTGCTGCCATGATTTTATTAGAGAAGGTAGAATAAAAATAATAACAAACAAATCTGCGTTGAACTAAGTCAAAGTCGAAATACATAGTGAAAGTAAATGGAAATTTTGGAAAACTAAACGGACCCAATAGGTAATAGTTCTATGATTCGATATGATATATAATAAGTTACGACTTATATAACGTTTTTTTCGTTTCCTGACATAAAATATGTATTGTACTAGCTTTCAGCCAGCAGCTTCGCTCGCGTGGTCCGGATTATACACATTAACCTTCCTTTTGAATCACTGATATGTTTTTAAGAATAAAACTAAACATAGAGGATCAAAATGCGCTTAGATTTCTTTGGAGGGAGGGTGGTAGTGATGTAATAAAGAAATATGCGATAACGACATTATTTTTGGTGCAAATTGCTCTCTATTTGTGGCATAATATATTAACTGTATATTGATGAAAACTGTATTAAAACTCTTCTTCTTCTTCTTCTTTTATTAATGGCTTATATGCGAATTTCGCACAATTTTGCCAATGTCAAGTGAATAAATTAATTTCTACATGTAAAATGAAAATGAAATTAATGAAAGATGGCGATGATAATCCTTAGTGTCCGTATTAAAACTCGCTATGTAGAAAAAAGTTGAAAGAAATCAAAGCGCCTTTGTGATATACTATGTATATTAATAAAAAAATATATTATTAGTGTTACCATTCTATTATTTAATATTTACCTGATTGGTATACCTATAACAGTTTTCAATATTAAATTATAAATATATTTCGAGGATATGCTGACAGTTAATGGCAATAATACATGATAAACCACAGCCAAAAAGTATTTCCAAAATTAATACAATCTCTAAGCTCCAACAGATATAGATCTAAGAAGAAATAAATAATTTCAATCCTACTTATGAGCACACTTTCATTGGTGTAGGAGATTACTGCCGCAATAACCAAAAGTTTTGTGTGTTTTTCACCCTTAAAATTAAGTTTACTTATCAACTTAATACGTGTCAACCAGTGATCTGGGGGCCAATTCTACTAAATAAATTTTGTTTAAATCGAATCGAAAACGGATCGAAACCGAACGAAACTACAGTTTTTAATAGTTTTTCTATTCTTCTTAGTGACATACGATACAATTCAAAGTTAATTTAGTAGAATTGGTCCCCAGGTATAATGCGCAGCACGTAAGTTGAACCAAAATGGGGATTCTTCGTGTAGCCGGGTAAGTAAAGGCTTGGGCAAGAAGCAAGAAGTTTAAATGTCTTTATATTTATCTTTATTTTCTTGGACATGGGTATACTGATGATTTCTTCCTATATCCAATTCTAAATATGCAGAAACCTTTTTAATTTTATCTGTATTTAAAAATTATTATTTCCTATATTATCAGTAAAATTAATTCTGAGAATTATGTTTATAAAAACTGTTTATTACCAAGTACTAGTGCTGCAATATATGACGGACTCAATAGCGCGGTGGTAGCGTTCCTACTATTACGCTGAGAGTCGTGGTTTAGATCCCCATTCAGGACAAACATATTTGTGATTAACAATTGTCTGTTCTGTATCTGGGTGTTTTCTATTTATATTATGTATATATTTGTATTCCCCCCGTTGTTTCTGATATCCGTAAAAGTACCTAAGCTACTTACCTCGGAATCGGATCAATGTGTGTTATGTTGTCCGATATTTATATTTATTTATATAGCGATAGAAGGTTGTAGTAATACGTCCTATTGAAACCCGAAAATGTCCTACAACACCTTCGCCATTTTGATTCACCTTACGTGCTAAACATTACACATACAAACAAAAGGAACTGTGCGAGGAACACTGGAAGGTAGTATTCTGCGCTGCGATTGCGCTGTTGACCATTTTCTTATCCTTGTACGCTTTTTTTTACGTCTCTACATGCAGTATTTACACTTAACTTATCGACCAATGAAAATGAGCCTTTTATTTGCCTCTTATCGGCACGTGGGAGAGTATTATAATAATCTGTAACAATATCAAGTAACTTTGTGCTTACTACAAATATTATGAGTACTCAAAGAGACGTTAATGGTGCCTGCTTAAGTATTTGTTAAAAAGAATAAAAAAGTTCAGTTAGTATTATCACGCAAGTGTCTATATGGCGCAAATTCCCTTCTTATTTGCGGCCTTAAACGCTACATAAATAATAAATGGGCGTGCGACAATAATACTCACAGTAATTAAATATCGATAAAAATACGGGCGTCCTTTATAAAGTTTTTTTTTAATATCTCAAAAATGCAGTCAAATTATGATGGAATCTCAGAGTAAATTTGGGTTGATGCAATTTGGTATGAATCCCCACACAAAAAAGGCATTCTCCTTTAATCTAATGTAACTTGTATGTCATTGTATATAAAAACTTTGAAAACTTCACCTCAAAATTTTATATAGTACGTCATTGTTATGTTTGATAAGCAATAGTACATATAAAAAGCGGCTTAATGATAAGTAATTCATTCTATGTTATACAACATTTGTACAGTTGAGTTAAAAAGTCTAAAAGATTGTTATTACCGTTGGTAAATCGTCGATCAATCATATTGAATTTTTTACTCTTTACTTAACGGGTGATAATAATTATAACAATGTATAAAAAATCTATTAATTACACTAGCACATTGTATCAATAATATTAAAGTCGATTGATAGTGCTTAAGCTATATATCACTACAAAAATTGAAATAAGTACCTATAATACAAAAATTAGAACAATACAAAATATAAATGAACATGCAGAAGCCAATCGTGTTTCTATTTTTGCTTAATAAGTACACAAATTGCAATAAATAAGTAGTTATTATATTACCTAAATGAGTAGCTACTTACATTCGTATTCTTTTCAGAATTATGATATTGAACTCGGGTTTATGCGATACATTAATATATAATATACTTAGGATTTTCAATAATAGTTCTTGAAACATTTCCTTTACACACTCAAAATCACATAATTTTATTGGTAAATAAATAATATTATCACATGCCTACATACTAACAATAGCTATAATGATTTATTTGATTACACGCGGGAACTGACGCACAAAATAGGGTAACATTATCCATGGAAAAAGAAAAATGGCGTGCGACAATGAAAACCATATCGTGCTAACAGTAGCACGATATGGTTTTCATTGTCGCACGCCATTTTTCTTACAATCTAAAATCTGTGCGAGTTTACGTGAAACAACTCTTAAACTTGAAATTAACTTATTTTATGAGTTATTATGCATAATAGACTTTCGTTACACCCTTTTGATCGTCAGTTGTACGAAGGAGCTTAATATTTGAAAAGTGGAAGAACTATATTGCGCTATCACAGACTGGCTTATATTTATGATTAAAATATCTCTCAATACGTTGTTACAGAGTGAGTTATGATCAGATTTATTGGACATTCGTATTTTCTCTGTAAAATTGTTTTACTTATTTCAAATTTTACAATATACCAAAATAGTGAACCGGTTACCATTAATAATATATTATTTATTTATATAAGTCTCCATTTATATATTTTTTTCTAAATACACACAGAGAGACTAGTCCTAAGTCTAAAACATTTCTCTATTAATCTTTACAGTTTTATAAAATAATAATAGCAAATAACTTGTGACTAATATTTCCTAAATTCTAACATATGAGGCGCCGCGCCGTTGAGACTTTATTCCGTGTTAATTTATGAGGAATGTCAAATATAACGTGTTACTTTTATAATTTAATTATATATATATTATTTTGTCTAAATGCACTGTACTGATATCTTCTCAATTTTGGACACCGTTGCATTTCAAAAGTTCACACTAGAAAAAGAAAACAATATTAGTTATTAGTGTTACAATAAGAATTTGAGTTGAAAATTTTAATTCGTTACAAATTAAAAATGAAACAGTAATTTGTAACGGACAGTATTTTATTTATTTAATTGTTTATTTTAATATCAATGACTCTGCCCGTTGCACAAACATTAGTTAAAATTGACATTATTTTCAAAGACGATACACATACCGATACAAATATTTTAATTTAGAACATATGTATGTACCTTCACAATCATATTAACCATTCCATACCAATCCTCATTGTAGATAAATACATAAAAACTAATTTATATTGATAATTTTTAATACAAAATAATATTAAAGATATTAAGTCTTACCTCATGCAATCAAACCAGCATTATTCATGCAGACCCGAAGCAATACGCAAATCAGTATTTACAGGCTGTATCCATCTAGAAATAAAACTACTAAGCAAACTTAAACAAAGCAGTGGCCACTAGTTTATCCCGTGATATAATATAAGATATATAATTTAAAGAACCCCTTATAAAAAAATATGTTAAATATATTTGATAAACTATTAATTATGATTAATGGACAGATGAAACTAAACTTTAACAAAAGACGCCCCGACGAATAATCCGGTAATAACAAAGTCTTTAATGTTACAGTAGAAATGAAAGACCAAGCTTTTAATTGATGTTCTATGAAAATTTTAAACTGCCGTTTTTCAGTTTTTTCATTATTTATCATAGAAGCGTCATTTTGTTTTTGTGAAATTCAGATGAATTAGCAAAAAAATAATAAAGAAGCCATATTTTTCACTAATTTATTACTAAAAAGATCAAACACCAATTTCTACTATCAACAATCATCTATGTAGGTCCTAATAACTTATAAATGACGTCAGATAAACCGTTATTATACATATATTTGCCATTTTTATTTCTAAATTAAGCAATACGCATGCAGTTCTAATATTTTATCAATTAGTTACTCTGTAACTTCCCATGCAAGATAAGTTAGAATACAAATATCAACCCCAAGAGGATAATTTTTAAATAACGGTATCCTTTTGGTATAAATTGTTGCGTTCCAAAAACGAATTTATATTCGATGAGTATCTTAAATGTTTAGTAGTACTTCTCTATACACTTTAGTCTTTGTGGTAATTATAATAATATGTGTTAACCCTCACACACACATACGGACACATTAGTGCTAAAATCTACGGATTCACAAAAGCCCAGATTTTTGCAATCAATTTGTTAGTTATTTGAAATTAACTGTAGAAATTTGCCTTTTTAAGGAACCTAATATGCTGCTAAGTGTACGTATAATATTCTAAACATACTTTTTTCTGGCTAAATTTGCATTTGATAATTTATAATTATACATACCTGGACTGAAGATTTATTTGTATCGTTCTTAGCCCGTAACAATCGTGCTAGAGGGGGCGTGAATAGTGATGGATCTGGATGATCTTTACCCAAACGTTGCCACGGATGCTGCTGACGCCATAGAAGGGAGATAGCCGAACCGACTATGATTACCCATAAGAAGCCGACCTACAAAGATATTTGTGTAAATTGTAATAATATGTTAAACAGAACATTGTAACAAGGATTGAAAGTGTCCGCAAACAACATTCATTTTGAGGATAAGTGGCGTAAATGCAAACTAATTGAAGCTGTCCAGAAGAACAAGTTTGATCCTGTATAAGAAATTGATCAAATGGTAAAATCATGTGGTCATGAAGTTTTACGGGGAATAATAGAGTAAAAAGTAGCTGAAAAAAAAAACGTAAATAGGCCTGCAAGTGATATCAAATCACTCACTGAGGAAGCTTTTTTGCAAATTGGTGATGGAGGAATGGCGAAAGTGTTGTCAACATGTGCAAAGAATTGAAAACGAGTCCATAGAAAAAGACAGGCTAATTGAAGATCTATAGGAAAGGTTTATTATAAATATCTCCTTATCTTCATCATCTTCTTCATCTGACGAAGAACAAGAAATGGAAATTGAGTTTTTAGAGTTGTTTTCTTCTTCCGAATAAACTAAATAACATTACAAGATTATTTTAATCATCCTCCTTTATAAAATTCTCGAAAATCTATGTATGATTGTATTATTATATTATTTATATTTATAATATAAAGCGAATAGATTTGTTTGTTTATTTGGTAATTTTTAATGGATAAACTCAAAAACTGTACAGATTATTCTAGTTTTCACCAATGAATAGTGTGAATCAATCGAAGTTTAGGTACCAACACCAAATCGGTTCAAAATAGTGTATGTACGTACAAAATCAAAATTTCCATGTTCCTATTACAATTAAAATAATTAATAATATTATAAGTATCAAGATCATTTACTTCAATTTCTTTGGTGTGGCATACATCAAATTTGAATTTCCCTATTTGCCATGAGATTCTAGTAGGCCTATAAGCGTTAGGGTTCAGGATAAAAATCAACGCCAATTAAATTCACAATCCGACTTTAGTGACTTAATAAAAAAATAAAAAATAACCAACAACAAAATCCACACTTCTTTGACTTTACAATTTACGTCACGACTCTCGCCTCACAACACTATTCGATCGTCCCAATATAATGCCATCTAGTAACGGGTAGACGAAACTTCACGCCGCTAAGCTCCGTAACATTAATATAAAAGGTCTATAAATTAGGTACATCTGGTGCATATAACTATTAACAACACTTATTTGTAAATTGAAGGAGTGGTAGTTTAAGCTTTTCACGCCATGACGTCAACAGGAGCTTGATTTTTCTTTATATTTTATAACATAATAGTTAATTTGATTATTTAAAATCAAAATGTAGCTAACCGCATTTCAACCACTATTTATTTCTTGACACTTTTTACATATAGTCGTAACTGAATTTTTAAAAATCTTTGCTTGACTATCCCATATAGTTAGTAAAATTTTGTTACAAGATTATACGTATACACTATCATAATTGCTTTTTAAATCTTTGTTTGAGTGTAATGTAAACTTGTAAATAGCAGTTACAATATTATTCGTTGGAGGTATCGATAAACTTAATATTATCAATTGGGGAACTTACCGGACTGGTCCACATATAAGATATCCGATACAAATAGAAATAATTTGTAGGGTCCGTAGCTGGTGGCACAGGTATGGTGATATTATTTAGACAGCCTTCCACGTTCAGCGGCAATTTTACTGGTGGCGGTCTTGGTGTACCGAAACTCATCCACAATGTCATCGCCATACCGCTCAGAAGACCTATGGAAACTCCCTAAAAATATATAAAAAAATGTGTTTAACGTATTGGAAGCTCAAATATGGACTGCATTTGTGCAATAAATACATTGAAAGGTGATTTGACAACATATAGAGAAGGGACAGTAACATTATTTCGTCGATTTACGTTTTATTTTCCTTTTAATACTTTTACCCAAATTTTTAAAAGCTTACAAAAGTAATAATCCAATTTTCTTAAATTACACATTGCAAAATTTATTCATGTTATATAATGATTACATTATTTTGATTGATTCTTTTAAACTTTTTCTGGAACAATGATCCTAGCCCGTGTATAAGACCTGTTAAATGTCAAGGCAAATAAAAACTAAAAATAAGTTTTGAAATTAGGTGCAAATTATCAAAATAATAATGACACAATATATGAGAGTTAATATCATTTCAAACTTACTAAAAAATAACATAACACATTTATATTTTTTAATTTGATATAGCCATAACTTGCACTAACCGTCTACACTTACCCTTTCATTGGCATATGTAGTGAACATTCCCAAAGTGAAAACCCCTAGCAAAGGTCCACCGACTGCTCCGAATATAGTTAAAGCGGCTTGCAGTACACCTCCCAAGTGTTCCGCTATGAATGCCAGCGCTAAGAACAGTAAGCCGTAAGCGCATGCCGCCAGTTTCGTCAACCAAGGAACGTGGGAAGGAGATAACTTGCACCATCTAGAATCAAACATTAAAAACTATCGATGTATCAATCACAAGTCGATAGCATTAGATCAGCAGTAGTTGGTGGGAAGGTCGAAAAGGGTCCGACCTGACAATAGATGTCAAATTCCATTGCTTGCACCATCAACATAATAAGGTTTAAAATCGAGTGGGGAAACTTAACAGTTTTGTATAGTCTGACTGTCAAATTTTTCTACAGTTAACTGTACCTTCCCGTAGGTGATTTTTTTCACGGTTGGGTAGTTTCGTAGACCATTCTTTCCAGACAAAATATTATTATTGTTGAATATTAATTTATTTTTGGTCATAAATTACGTGAAATACTGTAAATACCGTTTTAATGAATACATGTGTTTTATTTGCAAATACTCGTAATAGCCTAAAAACCCAGCCAAGCGCAAGTCAACTCGTGCACGAAGGGTTCCCTTAAATATTTTTTTTATTCTGATTTTTTTCAGTATTTATTTTTATAGCGGCAAAAGAACTACATCATCTATGGAAATCTCAACTGTCTAACTATCAAGGTTCATGAGATGCAGCCTGATGACTGACAGCTAAGTATATGTAAAAGGGTTGTCATTTTACCCTTTGTGTACGGGTCTCTAAAAATTAAAGATGCTGCCAAAATTATATTCCACGCACAGCTAGTATAATTATAAGTGCTGCAATATATCCTATTGCCAATCAGTGTAGATAGCTTTAATTAAGGCTGGGCGAAACAAAATCGATGCGCCCATCAATGAAATAAGTATGATTAGAAGACACTGACAATATGTTATTTATTTTTAACAAAATTGGTAACAGAACCACAACTAATTTAGCTGCGCATTCAAAAGAATTTAATACATACCACATATACAATTTACTTAGCCAAAAAATCAAAATTAAAAAAATATTTTAATCAAAAATATTTAAAAGAATATCAATGCTAGATACCCGCTAAATTAAATATAACAAATTTTATGAAACTTATTATGTTTTAATTAAAAAATAGTATGTTTCAATCCTACCTGCCAACGTAATCGGTGAGCGTAACAGCTGCCAGAGCATTGCAAGCAGCGGATATAGTAGATAGTGAGGCACTAAAGATTCCCGCGACGAACAACCCAGCTAGTCCGGGTACGAACCTCATTGCGTCCACGACGTAGTAAGGCATCAGTTGGTCTATCTAGAATGGATGCACAAATCGTTGTAAAAAGCCAACTTTTAAAATTATTTATATGTCAGTAGCTAGCTCGTGACCTTGTCAAAGTATGCAACCCTAATTACGCACAGTTAAAGTTCATTCAAAAATACATAAAAAATAATAAAAATGTAAGTATACATATTTAGTATATACTATACATACATATAAGTATACATATTTTTGTTACCGTGGCTAAAAAAAAGATATTATTATATTTGATTAATTTTGCATTCACAATGCTATACTAAAAAAAATCTTGAAGAAAAAAATGCTTAAAAATCGAACGGACATGGATTCGAGTCCCATCTCAGAGTGCCAAGGATAAAGTAGATTATGAAGCATTTTACATTAAGAAAATTGATATTTTCAAATTTTATCATATGACTTAGGATATGGCAATTGAAGTTGTAACTTTTCTATAAAAAAATACGCGAAAATATAAATGAGAGTATTTAAGTACATAATCAATTTATAATAACAAAATTGAGCTAATAAATTACCTATGTTGCAATGCAAAAAAATGAATAAATAAAATAATAATATTTGAAACGAATGGAAAAAGAACACAAAAACTTACAGCAGAAATTTTGTTGCTAATGAAGGGATCACAATCTTTGTAGACAGCGTAGATGCCAAGTCCGCTGATACATGTGATGGTGCTGAGGAGGGACAGCACAGGCCAGCTCCACCACAAACACATTTGAGATCGTGCCAATGTACTAACAGTCAGTAAGCGTTGAACCTGAAATCAAAATTTAAAATCATCGATCCAGCTATAAAACCACTCCTCTGTGTGCTCTGATATCATAGAGCTTCAATGAAACAACTTAAATTACGTTTCGAAGTAAGTTTTATTTGATTGGAACAGCTCTGCGATTAAATCCAAAATGGAAAATCCAAGCCTCATTCACTTAGAAAGCAGCATCCGGTCAACCTTAAATTGGTAATAACATTTCATGGCATAAGTGAAGTGAATTTCGAAATGACATAGGAATAGAATATCTGAGACACGTATGTATATTCAATCAATTTTGTTTTGTATTTTTATACAAAAAAATGGAATTAATAGTATTTTTTCACTAAATTACGTGATTCCGGAATTAAGTGAATTCTAATTCGGGTCTTGACAGAATCGCAGGGCAGTATAACATAAAAGTGCTTTACTCGACTTCAAGTTCAAGAGTCTATAACACACGATCAATCTGATTGGCGAGTTCTGATCTCTCCTTTCTACATTTACATTGTATACCTATCTATTTCATAATTATTTCGGTCAGTCATAACCTCTTTTACCTTACCGAAGTTACGTTACCCGAGTTTACAGAGAGGATCATCCACCTAATTCTTCGGTTTCCTATTCTTAAAAGTCCGTGCATAAATTTAAGGATATTGTTAACATTAACACTTTCGTTTGCTACCGTTACCTACTTATGTGATATCTGTATGATGAAGACAAACTTTATTCTTAGATGAAGGTGAATGTTCTTATAGAACCAAGCTTTGAGTTATATGTACAAAATTTTAACAACACGGCCTTAAATCGGTGCTCGGTTAATGTTTGAAACCATCAGACACCAAATGATATTTAATGATTTACTTTCATTCATTATAATGATGCTACAGACAAATCACCAACATCTAATATTCCTACTTTGTATTTAATAAGGATTATTAAAAATCATTTACCAAAAAAAAATACAAGCAAATCTATCTTCCAGGACATAAATAAATAATGGAAAGTCAAATTTGGAGCTAGGTAATTACTTTTTATAGATATATTATATTAGATAACTTTCATAAATAATAAGCGCTTAGGCATTAAAAATAGTCTTTACCTGAGTATGGTTGACGGCATATAATGATAAGTAGGTGATTAAGCCACCGATGATCAATGACCACCATGTGTGTCTCTCCGTAGGATCAACGCTGAAACTAAAACAATACTAGGGATAATAGATAATCTAAAGCAAGGTTATACCACAATAATACAATTTAATAATACAATTGTTGATGATAACTTTAAAAAAACAAGGCAATTTTGTTAAAACTATGAGCATTTCATCATCATCATCAGCCTATTAATGCTCTTAACTACTAGAATACAGATCTGCGCTATCCTTAAAGATGGAATTGAATTGAAAATAGGGACAAAAAGAATAAATCATGCATGATCCACCAAGCAGGCTCAGTGTGGATTAATAAATGTGGACGACTGCAAACCCAGCCGGAACCAACAGCTTAACATGCCTTGTGAAGCACAGAGGAGCTCCACCATCGCGCTCCTCTTATGAGCATTTTATAAACAACAATTATTATATGTAATAGAATTAAATCACGACCATTCAATGTAAATAAATAATCAAGCGATTAAAATTTCAACTTACTTTGCAAAATTAAGTCTTCCGCCTTCTTTAGCTTTGACGAAAATCATTTCGAAGCCACCAAGCTGTATCGAACTGAATATAACTATACTGAATACGGCTCCAAACATCAACAATGATTGCAGTAAATCGGTAAATAAAACAGCTTTCATTCCTCCTAACGTCGAATAAAAGGTACAAGCTAAACCCACAACTAATATTGATATCAATCTATCTAGACCAGTTACTGATTCCAAAACAATAGCTGGTGCATATAAAACGATACCATTGTAAAGCACCATTTGTAACGTATAAGTTAATGAGGCGAGCATTCTCAGTTTGGGCCCAAATCTCAGTTCTAAATATTCATAAGTACTAGTCTTCTGTAACCCGAAAAATACTGGCAGGTAGAGTCTACTGGCGATCGGTGTTGCTATTCCATATGCAATATTGATGACGTAGAATTGCATGCCATAATAATAGTTTTCAGCGGACACTCCCAGTAATGTGATGGCGGACATGAATGATGCCATAAGTGATACTGCTACAGGCATGATAGACATGTTTCGGTCAGCAAGTAGGTACTCCTGTGAAAAAACATTAGGTCGTTTTAAGCTTTCTTGGTCACTGACAATAGAGTAATAATTATTTACGATATTGATTTATTTACGATACATACATTACTTACGTAAATAAATATTACTCGAAAAAGTTAGGTTTCTTAATATGGTGCTATATAGTCTATCTTTTAGGTTTTATGATATGAAAATCTTATAATACTACAATATTGTCTTGTACTGATATCACGGAAAAAAACTTAATACCATATCCGTAAGATTCAGTTGACAGTCTCAACTGATAAAAGTGTGCATTATCCAGACGGTTAAATCAGCAGTCAATGTATATTTTTTTGTTCCGATAATTCGGTTGCACTTTAAACAACAACAAAAAATCTTTTGTAACATTCCATAATTTAACAAACCTACGAAAAGTAAAATCGTTTTTCAGAATTTAAGCTAACTCAAAAAGTTTTAATATTTTCAAAAACCTCATTAGTTTTTTGTTTGCCACCACTGAATCTGAAGTAGAGACCAATAAGGATAGACGCCACCATCGTGGCAGTCATTATCACGTAATCCCATACACCGAAAACCGCCAACATTTTTGTTAACTGTAAAAAGAATAATTTCATTAAAAAAAAATATAGCTTATTATACAGGGAATATTAAAATATAGGCACGACTCAATGAGGAGCTGTTTGATTGGGAATTGATAAAAATTATATAAGAACGGGAACGCGGATTATAGAATCCACCACGTAGTTCCAAAGCACATTGGTGATATAGTTGCAGATGCAACAGAGAACAACGAATTGAAATGCCTTTCGAAGCGCAGAGAAGCTTTAGATATTTTTTTTGTCATTGGTCCCTATGATTGGTCTTTGCGAAAGTTGCTTCACTTCCACATCGCAGTCCGAACACGCTACCCACTGCGCCATTGACCTTCTCAACCATCAATAAGTACGTTTCAATAAATCAAAGACAGACTTTAATATTACTCAGGTTATAAAGTGGGTCTTAAATATTGACAAAATTCATAATAATAAAATATGAACTCAAACAACATCATATTGCAAGTGACTACTCTAAGTCATCAAGCATCTTACTGTTAAACTCCCAGACTCACCAATTTATATCAGTCTGTGATAATAACTTATCAATAAAATTATCTTTGGAGTACATCTGAAACTAAATAATCTCAATAGCCTTATCTCTTAACAAGAGGATTTTTAACTCTTAAAGAAGCAATTTTATATGAGTGATGTCACATGATGTCGGAGTTAACAATTATAAAATAAAAAATTCTTTTTCATAGTTTACATTTTGAACTTTTAATAAGAAAAATGTATTAAATAGCAGTTTAACGTTATTGTAACTTTAATGGGAATCGTTTTTCTAATCAATGTTCCACCACGACTTCTCAATGATACAAATGTCAAATGAAATTATTGCTCAATTATCATAAAGAAAACCTTATTATTTATAGCAAGCACAAGAATATTTTATTAATTCAATTTATTTGTCATAAGATGAAATCATACACAAACCATCTGAAAATTTACTATCGTTTTAATCTTCCATTGTCGTGAACTGTGATTATTGTAGAAAATATCAAGCAAAAATATGGGAAATTTACGTTCAATTTACAAAGTAAATTAAAAATCTAGATCTCGGTCGCTAATCTTCATATTTTTAACATTGTTAGCACGTATCTAATATATCTCACTATTTTATTTGCTTGCATCAAACATTTTATAGTGATAATTTTTATGACGCAGATCATATTTCTTTACAAAATACTCTGTTGTATGATTCTTGAATAGATGTACCGTTAAACATTGCAACAGTTTTTGTTTAGGACTAGTAAATTTAAAATAATTTACATACAAAAAAGACTTACCAATCTTGATAGTTGCAATGCTGAAACTAAATGACCTCAATTAATTTTAATAACTACAGCATTCATGCTGATGTTTATTGAATCTTTGGACGCACTGACCGTCTTATGAATTGTTTTATGTTGCAGTCAAACTATTATATTTTTTTCTTATCCATGATTGTTTTATATACTTAAAATTCTAGTAAACCTATTCAGCCGAGTTTTGTTTTATGTTTTTCATGCCCTTAGGAGCTGACTTTTTTAATCCTTTTTTACTGAACCTCTTAATCATAATAACGATTAGAGTGGCAGGAGTTAGAGTCAGCATCAGTCAGTATAAATAAGTCAGTCCCCTTGTCTTTAAGTATATAGATTTAAACATATTATAAGTCTCCATGGTCATATAGCTCGCACAATGGTCCTAGATTGTAGCCATCTATGAGTATAGTAGTCATTTTGGAGGCCCCACATTTGATTCTTAATTGGGTCAAGACATCAGATGTTCGTTGTATAGACCTCATTCCGCCGAATATCTGAACTATTAAATATATTAAACTGATCTTAATATTCATAAGTATCACTTCATTTAATCTATAAAAGTGTTAAGTATCTACTTCTAAATGTGTACTTCAGTAAATTTTGTACTATTACAACTAAAAGAAAGAACGTGGTGCTGTCAACAAACTAGTCAGCGGAGCTTTCTTCGTTTCGCTATTTCATCATTTTAAACTTATATTTTTAAATAAAAATTCCCGTTTGTTGGCAAAATTAATTATTTTCTTTAAATTTTGACTCGGTTAAATTAACTAATGTCTAAATTTCTCTTAAAAACATGACATTATATATGTATCACGTTTATGTATTATTAATTTCATTCATTACATGACTGATTTAACTGCATTGTTTATATTTTAGTGACCCTGAATATTATCTTAATTTCTATTAAGCGTACCTACCTATTTTTATACATTAAACATATCTCGACATGACTATTTTTATCTTGCTCCAACAGAAAAAAATCGAGACAGTAGAGAATTTTGCATTATAAAAAGTATTTGTACAGTAAACAGCTCATCAAATTATATAAATCTGCCAAATTTCTCCTCTTTATTTTAAACCTTAATGCTTTGATTGTAGAGCTTAAAATCAAATGGTAAAATTTGACATATTGTGGTAACCTGACGTGAGTGACTGAAAACATCAAAAATCTAAAATATTATACTTAAGTAAAACAAATTCTGGAGATCCTAAATGGTGCAGTCATAAGAGCGTCTCTACGATGGGCCAATAAAATAAGTAACTTTCGCAAAGACTGGGTATTAGATGGGTGACGAAAAATTTTTTCTGAGCTTCTCCGCGCTCCGGAAGGCAGGCATAAGCCGTTGGTCCCGGCTGTATCTGTAGTCCTTTATATCCACCAAACCTCTCTCTATTTGATTCTATCCAGATGGAAGGCCTGAGCTCAGCAGTATGAGTATTCTTAGGCTAATAACGTAGAACACAAATTCAAAAATAATTCCCTACACAAGAAAGAGACATTACACTTTGCCTTCAAAACTATCATTACCAAATACCATACTACTGTTGAGTGCATTATAACTAGTTTGTTTATCCACAAAATTAACCAAATAAAAATTAATAAATATTTAATAACCAACTGTATTTGTAAGTTAACTAAGCTCAACTAAAAAAATGCAATGCACTCCCTCGCTGCAATTATTATTGTTTGATTATTTAAATTCTTTAAGCCAATGTTTACAATTATCATTGACTCCATAAAAGAGATCTCGTTTCTAATGGGAATGACTTTAGACGCTGGTCTTTATAAACATGCATCGATCGATATGACTACATAACGTACAGCCAACACCATGTCATATTATACAAAACTGACAAATGTGTCCGCTCAATTTTAATCCTTAATGCTTTTATGTTAAAGTTCAAAAAGGTAGGTGTGTTTTTATCAAATATTATCATTCAAATTACATATGCCCGCGAAATCTGTTATGAACTAGGGTAAATATGCGCCTAAAAAGAAAAGGAACACTTTTTTTTTATTAAATATAATTTTATAATTATTATAAAATTTTTCAATCATAAGCCAGAAAGGGTCTCATATATATATAGCAATTTTCCCTTTTTACAAATAATTAGTTGAATAGTTGAATATATAAGAAGAAATGAAAAGAGTCTATGTGCACAAACTCGTTATTGGTTTTTAAGCATTAATATAGTAAAACTATCGAAACCTGAGTCCGAACCACACTTGATCAGTTTTTATAGATATAGATACAGAAATGAATCTCTAACTTCCATTCTAGATTTTGAAACTAACGCGAAGATAAAACACAGCTCACAGTCATTCAACTTTTATTTTATTTTAAGTATTTTTTTGTATTATTCTTCTTCTTCTATTATCTGTTCTATAAATCACTTTTATATTTAAACTAATAGACAAACTTATGTTCATAGCAAACCGTTATGATGGTATAGGTCGATGACTTTTCCTAGTAGTAGTAGAGCTCCAAAATTTTATTGTATACATACACTTTCTACATTATTCCATAATTATAAATTATGTAAAACTATAAATTAACAATCATTTACGGTTACCTTTCCAACTATGTTATACGATCGTTTGCAGAAACAAGTTTCTACGGGAACTTGAAATTATAAAGTAAGAAATAACCAGAATTATAACACTCTCAAAGATTACATAAATCTTTTTATCATTTTATTACTATCACAATGAGCTGCATAAAGTATATTAGTTAATAATTCAGTAAATTATAAACATACTTTACTTAATATTTAAAACATGTATCTACAACACTTATCTACTACAATATCAATTTAAATTATATTATACCGAATTCATTCACATAAGTAGTTACCTAAAGCGTAACTAAATATGAAAAAAAGTTATGATCACACGACGGTACATACTGTAACTAAATAAAATTTCGCGCCACATGTCCATAATATACGCATGCGTCGTATTTTATTGACATGTGGCGTCCACTCAATGTTGCAACAATTTAACCAACCGCAAAATTATTTAACACAACTTTATTATCTTTGAAAGACATCAGGTAACTAAAAAAAATAATAAAAACTCACCTAAATTTCTTCCTCAAAGAAAACACTATTTAGTAACACACTTAACTACCGTTTAAAATGTTCTTGACAGCATTGTATATTAGGTAACAGAATGATAATATTGACGTATGCCGACTTAACCTTGGTAACCCTGAATTATTCAATGAGATCGCAATGGGCGAACTTATTTCTGTCTTAAATAGAAATATATAATATCGAAACTGAAACGTCTACAGCGTCTGAGTAACAAAATTAAATAAGCGTGTCAATCAAACGAATGTATTGTAAGCATAAAACTGAGTAAGGTTATGTCGATGTGTGGTAAATGTAGAGACAGCGATTCACAGTGAAAACGTAAATACTGGCAAGCGTGGGTCAAACCTTTATAGCGCTCTAAGCGCTCTTGAATAAACCATAAATTATTTTGTAGCGACATTTCAGAAACTGAATTATTTATTATAATTTGATTTATTTGAGGTTGATAATTGAAAAACATTCTTAAACAAAATCGAACAAGAGCAATCTTGTTAGATGTTTTTTTTTTTTACATTTTATAAAATACAATATTTTAACATTAGAAGTAAACACTTGCAGTTATCTTTCAAAAGATAGAGCGCAAACATAAGAACGTATATATTTTTTTTAATTTATGCTATAAATTGTAATGTAGCTATTTAAAATTGGATTAAACTTATTATCCCCAATGATCTATTTTTATACAGAAAATTGAGAAGAAGATGGTGTTACTAGGGTTTTCTGATCTGCAAGGAGTTCAATAATTAAAATCACAAATAAAAAGAATTATTAAACAATTTTCCCAATAGTAGGATATGTTTTAATTTAAGCATCTTGTTCACACAGATTATTAACAATGACTTAAGGTACCAAGCTAACTTCGCTTATTTGAGATGAACTCTAGCGCTATGTATAGCGCTACAATGTTGAAAGAGCATGCGCCACTAAAGTGCGCTACAATATTCAATGCAGAATTATCACCCTTAAGATAATAACTGCTATGTATATAAGATGATTTAAAAATAAAAAGATATTATTTGTTTTCATAGCCAAGCGTTATACAAAAGTACAATATAATAATACAATAAGCTTTTCTAATACTTATTGGATATGTGAACCGAATAGCGACATCTAGCGAGATTGATGAAAATTAACGAGTACTAAAAAATGTAGTAGTGTCAAAGCTTGTTCATGTTAAATAAGGAATTTCACCAGAATTTCTTTCAGTATCACAATGGGAAGGGAAAACTTCTTCTGTAAAAAAAAAATAAAATGTTGTTGGTGAGATGATAGAAAAAAGGCAGGCTAATTTATTCTATTAAATTCAGTAATGTTTCTACTTCAGCTGAAAAAAATGTAAGCAATTTTGTATATTATAAATTTTGCAACAATCTTTTCTTTAATTTTAGCTGTCAAGAGATGGTGCTACTGTGTGAACTTGATGTTTGATGTATGTATTATATTATTAATTTTATAATTAATAATATTCACATTCGTTAACAATTAAGTTTCGCGCTTATGACATGATTACCTAATGTCATGATCTATATATATATATATATAGATCATGACATTAGGTATATATATATAACTCTAAGGTAACTGATTGACAGTGAACTATCAACGCAAAGCCCAAACCACTGGACGGATCGGGCTGAAATTTGACATGCAGGTAGATCTTATGACGTAGGCATCCCCTAATAAAGGATAATGAAAAATTCCACCCCTAAAAGGATAAAATAGGGGATGAAAGTTTCTATAAATCTTCTTAGATTTTCGACTGATTGAACTGAAATTAAAGATTGGAGCTACTATGATAAAGATGTCCGCTTAAATAGGATTTTGATAAATTCAACCCCATGGGGTTTATTCCCATGGGGTTGAATAAGGGATGATGGTGGATGTAAATTTATTAGTTTGAACCTATTAGTATCTAATGAGATAGGACATAGGTTACTATTATTGTGATAAATAGATTGTATGTTATTGTTAAAGTTAAATAATGAAACTTTATTTCAGGTATTTAACACGATATAATGAATAAATATTCTTTAGAAATGCTGCTCAAAGTAACTTTACCACGCGGACGAAGTCGCAGGCAACGGCTAGTAATCTATAGATTTGCTTAAGTTTTCTGATTACGTTTTTTTTTAATTTCCATATTTGATAGATAAATCTCTCGCTATTGGTTTACGAGCAAATTTACCCAATGTTTTTATTGTGTGATGATAAAATATAATCATCTTTAAAGCAAACTGTCTTTGTAATGATAGTAACATCTGTCGTACTATTTCATATCTAAGTGCAGTCTATGCTCCGACTTCTGCAGTATAGGTTATGATCGGTTCTATGACCATTTAAAAATATATATAAGGGTGTTACATTTTATGATTGAATTTCCGATGAAAGTCTGAAAAATATGCTGAGTTTTTTGTTAATTACTTCTGCTTTATTTATAATGTATTTAGTGTACTAAAAAATTTTTATTTTTTTATCGATAATGACTCCGAGGGATTTTAATTCGTGTACAAGATGTATTTTAATATTATTGGTTATTATGTTTCTTAATCCTATTATTTGGGATTTCTCAAGTTCTATGTCCAATTTTGCATTAGTGCTACTTTCGGTAATATATTTTAATGAATATTTGATATTCTGGATATTTAGATTTTTAGAGCTAGCAATCAATAGCAGGCCATCAGCGTATGCTTTAAGTGACAATCTTGTGGATATTCAAGATTAAGAACCTCCAAGGTCCAAGGACTGAGCCCTGAATACATCCTCGAGTTTGTGGTTAACTAATAATTATAACGGCGTAATTTAGATTTACTATTCGCTCACTAAGGTAACTATAGATTGTTCGATACAAAATGTTTGGACAGTGAAGTTCTTTTAGGCGTTTAAGATGTGGCCACCAGTCGTGATTGTAGGCGCCTTTTATATTCAAAGAAATGGTTACGACATGTCTTTTGAGTTGTTAAGCTTTCTTTATGTGTCCTATGGGTTCTTTTAATGCAGTGGTATTGGAAGACTGAGCTTTGAATTTAAATTGTTTATTATTATGGAGTTGCTCACTGTCCAGTTACTAAGTAATTGTCTAAACAAGGAAAACGGTGTTGAACCATTTTTTTTTTATTTAAACAAATAAAGGTATTCCAAAAACTGTAAGCTAAGTTATTATTATATAAGTATTATTAATATTGCCATAGTACAAAAAGTGTAAATAGAAAAGACATTTCTAGCGTTTGATTGTTGGAAGTGACTGTAATACCTATCATAAGAACTTCAATTATTTATTCCACAATAGACACGTTGGTAAGGCGTTTCAATCACAGAATTATAGATTAATTACTAGCTTTTATAATAGAATGAGTGACATTTCCCCGGCCATTAAACTTTTCCATTTTTAACCGACTCCAAAAATCCAAAAGGTTATATGTTCGACGGCGATATATGTCCATTTATGTATGTTCGTGGTTTTTTCAGCGAATTATTGACATATTTTCAAAATATTTTTTTTTATTATATTTCCCATTCAATTTCTATAACCCATTCACAATCGTAGAAAAAATATATGTAGCCAGAATTTTTTGAAATTCACATGACTTTTTCGTGAGTGACAAAGTGTGTAAAAAAATGCATAGGCTTCTATAAGTCGTAAAGAGGTTTATTTTAGTCACCTCTTTTGGCAATATACCAAATTCCATAACAAAATAAAAAGTATTTATTAGAGAGTAAGTACGTTGTAGCAAGCAACATATCGTCGCCTAAATAGCCATTCGAGTAACTATTTTAATAAAATTATATTTATTGTGTGCATCACGCAAACTTCCATTACTTATGGCAATTTGAATGTCTGCTATTCATTTTGCATAAAAAAAAAACAAGAATATTTTTCAAACTCGTAACAACCCTTGAACACCCAATTAACTGTTACAAAATTAATACGGTTACAACTTGAACCCATAATTACTTGGTGAGAACATTAAATTAAATTTAAATGAGTCTGCTTCGAAGTGTTAATTGCTACAATGAGTATTTGATTCACATACATTAAGACATCATGGCATCTACTACACGTCCTAAGCATTACTTTCGTTTACACTATAATCTTTTTAGGGTGCTAGGTCTCGGGTGGTGGCATCAACCAGATGAAGGGGACACTAGAAATTTCCACGGATGGTATCTGTATTATTCGCTCGTAACACAAATCGTTTGGGTGGTCGGATTTGTCGGTCTCGAAACAATCGACCCATTCATTGGCGAAAAAGATATCGATAGATTTATGTTCAGTCTCTCGTTCGTTATCACCCATGACCTCACTTTAATAAAGCTCTACTTGTTCTACTTCAAAAACGACCAAATACAAGACATAGTCCGCACCTTAGAAGTAGACCTCTACGAGTTCTATCAAAATAACTCAATGAATCGTGCAACAATTAGGACCTCAAAAATAATGACGGCGTCCTTTTTGTTCTTCGGATGGATTACAATTGGTAACACTAATGTTTATGGGACATACCAAGATCTTCGTTGGAAAGCTGAAATTGCAAAATTAAACGACACAACGCTGGCTCCATCCCGTACTTTGCCTCAGCCAATTTACATTCCATGGAATTATCAAAGTGAAATATCTTATGTATCGACGTTTGTCCTCGAAACAGTAGGCCTATTGTGGACAGGGCACATCGTTATGAGTATCGACACTTTCATTGGATCTGTTATTCTTCACATGAGCAATCAGTTCGCTATTCTACGTGAAGCTCTTGTTACTGCTTACGACCGTACAATGCTCGGTCTTTATGAAGGAGTACAAGATTGCAATATGTTAACAGATATTAATCATGTTCAAGAAACTTATACTGTGAATAATATTGAAGAAATTGTAAAATATCATTATAGTAAAGAAGAAATCGAGTCAGCTTTAACGGTAACTTTAAAAAATTGCTTTCGCCAACACCAAGCTTTGATCAGGTATGTACCTATGTATGGGTAAACTGTAAATTCAAATTAATTGCAGCTTGGTGCATTCGGAAATAAATCAACGTTGTTTGTGCCGCCGAACGTGCAGTTTTGCCGTTAAAATTTGATTAACACCCTACCGAATCACCATTCGTTACAAAAGTATCACCCCAATTTTAACTGAATTAATTTTATGTGAAACGCATTGGGTAATACCTACTTGCACGCATACTGTATTTAAAGATACTCAATCGAACTAATTATTTTGTTTCAATAATAAAAATCCAATTATGCAGCAAAATGTAACAACCATAACTACAATCATCATATGAATTAAACCCTTAATAAACCCTTAATTCCTAAGTAAAAAAAATCATATAAGTAAAATTAGCTTATTCTTAATTACGTACATCTATCTATATTTATAATTTTTCATGTTAACATTAAGAGTATGTACGAGTACTATTTTCTGTTGACCTTTACACTAAAATAATGTTCTTAACCACATAAATTTTCTTCTTGTTGTTTGTCGGTATTTCTTCGTTTTAATTTCAAACGTCGCGGACATACTTTATGCATAAGCAATAACCAAGATGAGTCTGCTCGCAAAAAGTCTTCCGACTCTACAAGTAGGGCATGAATAGGAGTGGTATGACGCCGTAACATACATAAATCAAAGGGAACTGCTCTGTATTCTAGCCACAGAATATGGCTATACACGTACACGTGTATATAACAAACGTGAAATCATACAATGGGAAGCATTAGAAGTTCCATAGAAATAGTATACGGTGACAGATAATTGATTTGTAACTACCGAAAATTGAGCAAATGGATACCTACATAGCGACCGCCTATTTCTCTTGCTGTAGTCGCACTAACTCTAACCATAGGCTATGAAAACGTTTTATTTATTTTATTAATGAATATGTTTATATTCTTTTCTTTTATTATCGTTCTTGTTTTATTAATCACATATTTAATCAATCTATTTCTAAAATTTAAATAAACCAATTTTTTTTTAAATAATAAAACGTACTAGACAAATAGCTAGAGAGTTAGACGGACACTATACTGCTACACATATCAGTAGATTGTTATACGAGTGGCTAGAATTATCATTATATGCCTCGCTAGAGCTGCGGAGATAGAAAGTAAAAATTTTGTCATAATGGGTTAGCACTTCGGTTGCGAGAAATAAATAACGTTTATCGTACCATTCACTTTATGATTGAAAAAAAAATCTTTTTTTTTTTTATTAAACATACACCCTCTAATTAATTGAGAGTATATGTAATTTTAATTGCCACTTTCCTCATGTAGAGAGAGACGAATTAATTTTAACGAGTTTTGCTCATATGGAAATAATATTTTAAATATATATTTTTTATTTTTATAAAAATAATTGCGAACAGGTATTATACCTAAGCTTACCTTAAGTAATCATATAAACTAAACCTGTATGCTAAATTTCAGCTTAATCAGTTAAGGATGTCAATGGCGCAGTGGTTAGTGCGTTAGTACTGTGATGCAGAAGTTTAACAACTTTCGCAAGGGCCGTTCTTAGGATGGGTGACCAAAAAATTTATTACCTATCTCGAGCTCCTTCATATTTCGGAATGCACGCTCAGCCGTAGGTCTCGGCTGTCTCTGCAGTTGTTAACACCCACCATTAATAGCACATATTTGTTTCTGTATTAATAGGTTGGTTAAGAACTCCGTAATTATGCATATTTCGTTTTAAATAAAACCTTTTTAGATGTAGGCTTTATTAGTAATCATTTCTCATTAGTCCCCTGATATTTATTATTATTCATGTGTAGAATATTAAATAGCCAATATGGATATTGGATACATAATTAACTATATGACCCTATTCGAATAAAATCCAGAGCCAAAGCGAATGTTATTACTCAATTTAATAAAGCCTGCAAATAGTGTAGGAGGCCAAATCGTTATACGGGAGCTTTCGCTATAAGCGGTATATACTGCGAACTTTTTGGCAATCGAGCGACTGCAAGGGCCAACAGACGGCTAAACTCCTATAAAGTGCAATGTATTAAACAGAAACACGGCGCCGAGTCACTGAGCCAACTACGAGTTGCAACTAAACTAAAAAATTCCCATCACCAAGCTAAGATTGATGTCAATAAGCCTATAAATAGTAACTTAATAAAAATTTGCTGCTCGAATAAGATCTCTGTGCCATGACCCCTCTCTAAACATAAGCTGTAATCGATTGAGACCAATAAGTATTATATCAGTGCGGTAATGCACTGCAATAACCTAGGATTATCGTCGCAATATTGTCACCCACAACCTTTTTTTTATACTTGAATCAACATAATATTTCATATCCACCAGCAAAATGAAATCTCTCCGAAGGCTTCATAGTTTGAATACCGAATTTGCTTTTTTTTTAGATGCGTAGAGAAATTCACCGTAACTTATTCCTACGGTTTCATGACTCAACTTCTGTCTAGCATGGCGGCCATTTGCGTTGTAATGGTTCAAGTTTCTGTAAGCGCCATTAAGTTACATTAATTAATTTAATATTCTGTGTCTAACTTTGCCATTATATTTTTATTTAATGTCTTCTTTTACAGCAAGATGCATCAACTCTAAAATCTATACGTCTAGTGACATCGCTTGCATATTTCGTAGCTATGATTATTCAATTGGCGTTGCAATGCTTTACTGGAAATGAACTTACACTACAAGTGAGTATACTATGATAGTAAATAAATTAGTTATTTGCGTTATTTCTAATTAATTATTATTATTTAGTTATTTTTATGCTACGAGCATCTGTTGACACTAATTTATATAAATAATGATATAGTAACATTTTTTAAAAGTAAGAATGCTGTAGATACGTTATTATATGGACTTTTTTGTCGTTTTATATTTTAATGTTATAGAGTAGAACAGCACGGTGAAGCTAGCGATATATCGAATATCTGGTTTAAGAGTACAACCCCTGTTTCTCGAGTACAAATCTTATATTTTACGTTGGTAACCGATATTACAATAATGTTTTGCAAAATTACTAAATACTGTCATGACTCGTATCTCCAGAACATACAATAACAAATTTCACGACGTAGATATTTTCCATTTATCCAAAACACAATTTAAAAAGCAATTGATCTCAAAACTGTTATGCTGAACCTCGGAAATTGTTATGTAATTAAAATATTTTTAGTTCTTTAACCAATTAATTAATTTAGACTTTTTTTTTTGGAAATTAACTCAAATATTGACAAAATAACTTTGAATGGTATTATTATTTGATAACGAAACGGGAAGTACTTGGACTGCTGAGACTAAATATCAATTGTGTGTGTATTATGTGTTTATAAAGGAGATATATTTCAAAAATGATAAACATAATATACACGATTTAAAATAGCAAATTAGTTACTTCTCAGAAAGGAATTTTAACAAATATTATTCTTTATTGTCCGGCATAATAATAATAATATAATAATAATGATCATTTATTCTCTCAACACAAAATTATGTACATACATGTGTGTCTTAAGATTCTTAAAAACATTTTGTATCTTAATTTTGTGAGAGACTGGAGCCCGAAATTGGTTTCAGTAGAAACCTGTGTGTCAGGTCACCAGGATCTCCCCACAGATAAAATATAACATAAATGAAGAACCAAAACGAAAGAGAATGCAGTCAAAATGTCGCCATTTCTATACATATATGTGTGAACACGCGCGCGCGCGCGCGCGCGCGCGTGTGTGTGTGTGTGTGTGTGTGTGTGTGTGTGTGTGAGTGTGAGTTAACACTGTGGAGACTGAATTTATTACTTGTGTATATAAAATTATTTAAGATGGTAAGTTGTGACCTTTTATTGTTTACTTTTTTTTTTTTTTTTTCCAACCAAACATTTACTTAAGTGGGATAAGAAGGTTTTCAGTAGCTTGATAGTCAAGGGTTTTTAGGTATTTAGTCACAGTTGATTTGCAAGCGTATTTCGGAAGGTGGTAAATATTGAGGATTTTATTTAGTTTGTTATATAAATATGAGCCAAGAAAGCAGAAATAATGATGCGAGGCCGCAGTTTTTAATGATTTGCTGGGGCATACGTTGCTCTTTCTCCGTTTATTTCTGAGCAACATGGGATCATAGTGTAATTGTGAATGTTTCTTTTTTATTATAGATAGTATAAATATTTGCCTGACTGTCAATACATCCCATTCCCTAAAAAGATCCACTGTGGGATAACGAAAAGGTAGAGATGCGGCCACTTTTAGTACAGCACGTTGTGCCCTCTCCACCTCGAGTATGTGAGTTTTTGAAACACCACCCCATGCCGATATGCAATACTCCAGCAAAGATTGGCAAAGTGAAAAATACACCATTTTAATTATGTGCCGGTCGGCAACATGTTTAAGTGCCTTAAAAATGTAAATTAATTTACGTATTCTGGTTACAAGAGATTCAATATGGAATTTGAAAGACAGTAGCTGATCTATTATTACACCGAGGTACTTTATGTTATCTGTTCTTTGTAGGACAGGACAGCAACATTGTGGTGGATTATTACTACATTTATAGATGTGTGCATATATGTGTTGTGTCAATGGAGGAAGTTGATTGGATTTTAATGAAAACGCAATGTATTTAGTTTTTGAGATATTTAAGGATAGCAGATTCTGTTTCAGCCAATCATCCACTCTGTTGAACCCTCTCTGGGCAGTGTTAAAAGTCTCTTTCCACGAGTCACCACTGAAGAATAACGCAGTGTCGTCGGCAAACGTGAATATTCTACCCCCACAAAGCTGTAACTGGCATAGGTCATTAATATAAACCAAAAATAACGTTGGGCCAATTATACTGCCCTGGGGGATGCCAAATGTGACGTCAGCTTCGTCACTAATCCAGTGCTCTATTTTTACTCTTTGGGTCCTATTGGTTAGATAATCACATAGAAGTTTTAATGGAAGGCCTCTGACTCCAATCCTCTCCAACTTCATCAGGAGGCGAGGGATCGAAACCGTGTCGAACGCTTTTGCTAGATCAAGAAAGATAGTTAGACACTTTCTTCTGTCATCCATTGTTGATATAATAGAATATACGAGGTCATGTACAGCATCGTCTGTG